CTCCAATCAACTTAAGCCAAAGCTGGGAGCCTAGACTTCCACCCTCCCTAGGCTGTAATAAGGCATTCCAACCCCTACACTTCAGAGAAGGGAGATAGGAAGCAAGGACTTCTTTCCTTCCTGGGCATTAATGAGGGCCCTTCATCCCCAACAGGTGTCAGTGGAAACCACATGAGGAGTGGGGACATCTACCTCAATTGGCAGTAATGAGGTACCCTTCTCCCTCCTCTCCAGGTGGTAACAAAGGAGGCCTCTTTGAAATTCAAGGCCAGCGATTACTGTCATATGGTAATTAGTCCACATTCTCTCCTCTGGTGTCAGTGGAGACAGTGGGAGCAGTAATGAGACATGCTAGTCCCTCTAAGCCAGAGTGATACCAATGGAGGCCTACTAGAGAGCCCTAACTCCTACAGTTGCCCTGGCAGTAATGAGGAGCACACCAGCCCCCACACACCTTAAGTGACAGAGTGAGAAACCTGGACTTCTACTCTACACCTAGCAGTACCTGCCCCCAACTTCCGCTAATGGAGTAGTGTCAAAAGGAGCCAGCTAGAAGAGAAAGTTTAAACAAGATCTGGAGCCTCATAATACAATATGTAAAATGTCCAGGTTACAATAAAAATTCACTCATCATACCAAGAACTAAGAAAATCTCAAACTGAATGAAAAAAGACAGTTAATATATATCCAACTCTGAGATGACAGATTTAGAATTATCTGACAAAGATTTTAAAACTATTATAAAAAACACATCAATGAGCAATTATAAATATGCTTGAAACAAACAAGACATTAGAAGAACCCAATGAAAATTTCAAGAGGTGAAAAATAAAATAACCAAAATAAACTGAACAGATAGATTCAAGAAGCGAATGAATGCAAAGAGCATAATCGCAAAGAAATCTACCTCAGGATGTCACAGCCAAACTTCTAAAAACTAAAGATAAAAATTTTTGAAAGCAGCAAGTGAAAAAGTGACATTTCACCTGCAGGGGAAAACAATTAGGATGACATCAGTCAATCTAGAAATCTGTATCTAGCAAAAATATACCTCAGGACTGAAGGGGAAATCAAGACATTCTCAAATGAAAGAAACTAAAATTTGTTGCCAGCTGACCTATCCTAAAAGAAGGATTAAAGTTCTAAACAGAAAGGAAATGATAATAGGAGACTTGGAACATCAAGAAGAAGGGAAAAAACAGTAATAACAAATGTGAGTAAGTACAATACGCTTTCCTTCTCTTCTTGAGTTTCCTAAATTGTGTTTTTCACATTTGAAGCAAAAATTATAAGACTGTCTAATGTGGTTCTAAATGTATATTATAAATGGTGAAGGTAAAAGGAGGTAAAGTTTCTACACTTTACTGAAACTGGTGTTGACACATTAGACTGTGATAAGCTATGTATATATCATGTAGTACCTAGAGCAATCACTAAAAAATAGGGAGACACACTCAAGAATACTATAGATAAATCAAAATGAAATTCCAAAATATACTCAAGTTATCCACAGAAAGGCAAGAAAAACAGAAAACAAAAATTTAAATAGCAACTTTAAGCCCTGATAAACAATTACATTAAATATAAGCAATAATCAATTAAAAGAGATTGGTAGAATGGATTAAAAAACATGACTATATGTTATCTATCAGAAACTTACTTCAAATATAATGATTGAAAATAAAAAGGATGAAAAAAGATCTGTCAAGCAAACGATCAAAAGAAAATAGTGCATATGTTAATATCAGACAAAGTAGGTGTCAGAGCAAAGGAAATTACAAGACAGAAAGGGACGTTCAGGATTAATCTACCAAGAAAACACAGCAGTTTGCACCAAACAAGAAAGCTGCACAATGTACAGAGTGAAAACTAATAGAACTGAA